CAAATATTAGTCCGCTTATGGTACACCTAAAAATATTATATATGAGAGATGAAATTCGACCTCTCAATTATTAGTCATTTTATCTTTTTATACAAAAAAACACTACATATCTAAGAGAAACGCTCCGCTCAATTATTAGTGCGCTTATCTAGTATGTCCAAAAGTACTACATATTAGAGAAAAAATTCTCACACTCAATTATTAGTTCATTTATCATCTTCTTATATCTAAAATCATTACGTATGAGATAGAATATTCCGTTGTTTATTAACCAGCTTATCTTATCTTATACAAAAAAACACTACATATGAGAGAGAAAATTTTGCTAAAAATTGTATGTTGTTAATTACTAACCATATTAAAATTGAAACCTACCCATTCAAAATGAAATTTTCACATTCTACCAATATTCAAATATACCTAAACACATCTATTTATAAAATGAGAGAAAAAATTATCTCGCTTGTTTATTATTTCACTTATTTTATACCAAAAAGCACTACATATGGGAGATAAAAATTTTGTCGCTGAATTTACTCTTGTTACTAGCCATATTGAAATTGAAACCTACCCATTCAAAATGAATTTTTCACATCTTACCAATGATGTTATTTTTAGCAAAATTAACATTTTTCAACAAAACATTTTTTTTCAAGGGTGATATGATTCTCTAATGATGTTATTTACCCCGATGATATTCATATATGAAGTTTATCTTTTCTACCAATAAAAGGATATAACATTTGATAATATTGATATTATCTTAAAGATTTTTACATTTTCTTCAAAAATGAAAAGAAAATAACAATTTTTTATTTTCCAGGATTATTACAATGCAAATAGTATTTATAAAAACATCTTTTTTTAAAGTGTTGCAACTTTTTCATTTGTACTTCGATTGTTACAAAAAGTATATCAAAAGTATACTACATAACTTTTTATTACCTTTCATATGACACCAATATTTCATATATAAATAAATAAATGCTACACAACACTTTAAAACATCAATTTTCTAAAGTGACATAACTTTTAAAGTTGTACTCCGATTGTTACAAAAAAATACGGAGTATCACAATTCACAAAAATAATCTAGCACTTTAAAAAACACCTACGCAATATTTTTAAAGTGTTGTAACTTTTTTATCTGTACCTCGATTTTTACAAAAAAGAATCTCAAAATTATACCTTTTCTATTATCTTGCATATGATACCAATATTTCATATACAAATGAAAATAAATTACTCCCTCTGTCCCTAATTATTCTTCCATAGTTCAAATGACACGAGGATTAAGATAGTGGGTATTGTGTGGTGGTGGGTTGCGGAGAAGAGAAAAAAATATGTAAGAATGTATAAGAATTGATGTAAACCACAAATTCTTTACCAAAAATGCAAAGTGGATTGATATGTATTTTTTGTAAGAATTAATTCCACTTTTGGTTCTATGAGTTTTGTGGCAATTCCACTTTTGGTCCACGTCTTTCACTTTGTCCACTTTTGGTACTTGACTAATGTTTTTAACCGTTTGTGGTCCTTTTTCGGCAATTTTAACCATCGGAAACAATGCCGGAAGGACCATATGTGGGCGAAAATATAATAGTCATGTATCAAAAGTGGACAAAGTGAAAGATGTGAACGAAATGTGGAATTGACCTAAAACTCGTATGACCAAAAATGGAATTTATTCTTTTTTTGTAACAATCAAAGTACAAATAAAAAAGTCATAACAATTCACAACTTTTTATTATCATTAATATGACACCGATATTGAATATACTCCATTCATCCCTTAAAACTTGACATCTTTCCTTTGTGTGATGTCTCTTAAAATTTTGTCACCTTTATTTATTAAAATCAAGTATTACTTTTATGACATGTAAAAAGATGGATTGAATAAAAATAACTTTATTTATAATAATGTCTCAATCTTAACTGTTAGATTTTGTTGTTGAGAATGTTAATTTGTCTATATTCATCAAAATTTAAAATTCAAAAGTTTAAATAAATAGTTAATACAAATAACTAAAACAAATAAGCTCATTAAATTGATCAAATGGCAATTAAAAAATAGGTTTGTTTGAATTGATGTCAAGTTGAAATGAGATTCAAATATAACTTTTAACATTTTAACAAATTTTTTATTTTTCAACAAAACTTTTTTCCTTTCAAGGTGCATGATATGGTTCTTTAATGATATTATTTTGCCATTGTTTCATATTTTTACCAATAAAGTGATATAACAGTTGATAATATTGACATTGTTTTAAACTTTGTGACATTTTCTTTTTTTTTAAAAAAAAAGAGAAAATAACAAATTATTATTTTCAAGGATTATTACTCGTATTCAAGACAATTAATAAAAAATACACCACAGTTCACTCTAGACTAATAGTGTGCACAAAAGAAACGATTCTAAACTACATAAATTAACAAAAAAAAAATATTCAATATTGATTTCATATTAAAGATAATAAAAAATAGAAATGTGTTTCTTGTAACAATCGAAGTACAAATAAAAAAATTATAATAATATAAAACATAAGTTTTTTAAAGTGCTATTTTTTTTTTATATATACAATATTGGTGTCATATGAAAGCTAATAAAAAATTATAAAAATTGATATAATTTTTATGATAATCAGAATACAAATCAAAAAGATATAACACTTTAAAATATTATGGGATTTTATTTGTGTTTGAATGATGAAGTAAAATGGCGTGCAAGAAAATACTCCATATAATAATTGTATTTAAAGATGGTGAAGCCATGTGGCATTCAAATGGCAAAGGAGAAAAAATAATATTGAGAGACACGTAAGTTTATTTAAGGGCAAAATTGTCTTTTAATGAGCTATTTGTTTTTATATATATAAATAGAATAGACATTGATTTTTTTGCGCTATTCACACATTCAAATTTGACTCTATTTTATTTATTAATGTAATATAAATTAAATTTTTAAAAAATCTTGTTTTATGAGAGATTAAATGTATTGCTTATCAACTTATGTGTTGCCGTGTACAAAATAACACTTCAGTCTAACTACTAATAAGATATGTTATTTATTATGTACCTGATGTTACCATGTGAGTTTTTTTTATAGAGGCCTTGCATATATATTTACTTCTATAAGTTTTTTTTCAAACCCTGTTTGAACCAAAAATCCGAGAGTTTTTGGGGTGAGGGCTAGGAAACACCTCACCTACTTATTTATTATAATAGTAAAAAGTTACACGAGTAGGAGGGCCGAACCAAAGCCTACTCAGGGGTGAAAAAGATTACAAAATATAAGGGAAACTAACAACATCGAACTTAAGAATACCAACAAATTGGTTGAAATGATGACTATTGGTTTTGATGGACATACTATGATAAGCAAAGAACTGTGCTACTCTATTATTAGCTTTAGGATGAGTGATGCTAACCGTCCAAGTGTTGATCCTGAGTTTTTTTCCTGATTTTGTGAAACTTTGGTCAATATTTCCAATATTGGATCAAGATACCAGCAATACCTGCGTAAATGTCTTTATCATCCACCTCAAGGATAATATTAGTAGGCTCCAATTGATTTAGAAGGGGGATGATGTAGTCGAGGGTCTCATAGGCCGTTACAGTTGTTTGGTTGTGAGTAGCAAGGTGTGTTGCATGGCCTATATACCTCTCATCACTATTTCGAATGATGGAAGCTGAGCAAGTGACGTTTGGTATGAGAGGACGACTAGCTAAGTTTACTTTATAGGTGTTGGGCGGAAGTTTGATCCAATTACTCAAGGAAGCTATGTGGCTACTTTTTTTTAGGGGTGGTGACGTGGTGTGGATGTTAAACGGGGCATTGGGAGTCCCGGCAATGAAGGGTTTGACAACCGAAATGGCAAGAATATCATGTTTAATAGCACTTATAGCCTCACACATATGACCCAATTTATTCTCATAGAGGAACTTGTTTCTGGTTTTCCAAAGATACCAAGTTATTATGTTTGGAATGACATAATTGAAATAAAAAATAGGACCACAGTAATCAATGTACCAAGTATTGATGTAACTATTTAAGGTTCCAGAATTAGTGGGCTGAAAATCCAGAATATTTTTAAAATGTTGTCCAATACTTTGACCCGACCCAAATTGAAAGTGGACCTCATTCAAAGTATTGCCCCAAATTAACCATTTAATGCAATTTTTAACACATTTTTCCAACATAAACCGGGTTAGGCCCAAACGCTTGGATGGTTTTGGGAGTGTTTTAGAAAACATCAACTGTTAAATTTCAAAATATCAAAGCAGCCCACGGCCATGCAAATATCCACCTAAAAATGAGTTGTGAAAATATAACAATAAATTTCAGGAACACTTTAATTACTGATCTTATTTGAGCAATGGTCCCCGGGTAGACAAGTTGAAAACGGGTTTCATTCAAAATAGTCAATGGTCTAAAATACATATGATGAGACTTGAAAGGTTGATTATTAAATACCCACGACTTAATCAGAGATGAACTCATGAACTGATGAACATAGTGACTAATATAAACATCCAAAATAAATTATGTGAACTAGGATCGGTTTACGTCCATTGATTTATTTCGACTTTAGTCTAATTTTATCTACCATGGCCTTAGTCTATACTGATTTTATGTGTAATATCATGTGGTATAAGGATATTTTTATTCGACAACAATTTTCTAAGTTGATCTAATCTAATCTGTTTAAGTTTGATCTAGTATAAACTGGTCTAAAAGATATCTATTCTATATGTATTTTACAAATGGTTGAAGTTTAGCCTCAGTGGCCATGTGGGACTGACATTAGTCTAATTACAAACATCCTAAATCCCATCTAGAGTAACTGGATTCCTGTACCAACAAAAATTGAAGAGCAGTTGTTCAAACAGATACAAAGGCCATTTGATTACAAGCATTGGTCACAAAACTGATTTTCTCTGACCCATTTAACACATTAACAGTATGCTTGGCAAGGGCTATTCAAATGTTCTCACTCAATCTGCAATAGGCAGTGTTTGGCAAAATCATTCAGCCAATAGTATCAGCTATTTATGAACAACTATCTTTTATTTAGGACTATGACTACTAGCTTAGGGAAGAAATAGTGGCCTAATTAAAAATATGTCACCTTACTCTTTTCTAACGTTAACCACTTTTTGCATGCTTAAAAGCCATAGAAGTAAATATATATGCAAGGCCTCTGTAAAAAAAAATCACGTGGTAACATCTGGTACATAATAAATAACATATCTGATTAGTAGTTAGACTGAAATGTTATTCTGTACACTGCAACACATAAGCTGATAAGCAATACATTACATCTCTCATAAGCTGCTTCATTATTTTGTAGCTTACGGGCAAATGTATAGATATTGCATCTTGAACCTTGCTTGCACCCAAAGGACACCCATGTTTGATGATGCACATACCTTGATCAGCATATGACATATCAGGCAAATGGTAATAAACCTTCAAACCACAAGCTAGGAATAAAAGGTTATGAGACTGGCAGAAAGGCATACATAGTAGGGAGCACATGGGAGCGATATCCATTTCAGAATTGAGACTTTTAGAGAAGAAAGTGATCAATCATATGTTGTATAATGTCTGCACCTTCTGAATGCACACTCTCGGCTTTTACCTACAAATTAGACAGCTGGAAGTGGTTAACTTTCTGATTTTTACTTTCAATTTCATTTAGTTAAAGAAACAAATTCAGGGACAGGCCTGGATAATACTATGTGCTGCATATTTAATTTTGCTGTTATGGAAGCTGACATCTACTTTCTCCCATGACACACGAGATAAGAAAGTCACCAATTCCTCTGCATCATTAATCCCAAAGATAAGATTAGAACCTCAGAGAACCCATTAACAAGCAGGCATGAGAGGGACAAACCAAGCACAATAAAAAAAGCCAGATTAGAATCTGGTTGATACTTTTTGAACTTCTCTAACATCCCTTTCCCGGAAATTAAGAAGCGAGTTCTAGTTGATGAAGGTACCAGCCTTTTGTTTAGTGGTACAATTGATATAAATCACTAATCCTAGTTAGTTTAGATTAATTTGTTGGTTTAACTATTACTTGTTTGTGGCTCATTTTTGGTACATTACTGATGGATAGTCTACCCGGGGGTATATATCTGAGGGGTTATTGATGAGAATAACTTAGAGAGAAGTCAGAGCACAAGTAAGTAAGAGAGAGAGTGTATTCAGTATGAATGTCGTGGTTACAAATGGGGAAATAGGGTGCTATTTATAGTAGCAATAAATGCCGGACAGGAACATGTGTCAAGTGCCTATTGGCCGAGGGGTCACCTCAACTGGTTGGCGTTGGCAGCCGCATGTGGCCGCATTCAATGCGGCTGTTGGATGGGACGTCTGTACAGGGTACGGTGATCTGTACGCATGTGAGGCGGATATCATGTCGGGAGAGGTGCTTTCGGCTATAGAGCAGCAGCCGAGGGCTCCTCAAACCGATGGCACCCTGGTGCCGAGGGCGGAGAGGTGACGAGGGCTTCTGTTTTTGCCGTTTTCTCCCAGTTTCTTAGTTTGCTTGAGAGTTTAGAGCCTTCGGCCAGGGGGCCGAAGGCACCCCTGGCGCGTAGTGCGGGCTGCTTGGTACTCTGGGCGCTGTGATTTGGGCATGTTGGGCCTTCTGGGCCTGTTGGGCCTTTACTGGAGTAGCAGGAGTCTGTGGGCCGAGGGTTCCCGGGCCATATACTCCATCAGGAGTTCCTCACTCCTTTTGCTGAAAGGTATTTGAGGGAAAATGAGTAATTTGTGCTTGCCCTTTGATGTTGTCCCGTCGTGATCTCTGAAGTTGGTGAGGAGTTGTTGCTTTTATGTCCCTACCGAAGGCAGTCCCTCAGTTACCCACATGTCCGGACTTGAGGGCTTGCTTTGTCGTTTGTTGGAATTTCACTAATTTTGTAATTTAATGATTTTCCCGAGGGGGTCCTCCAGTCCCCCACTCCTTGAGGCACTTGTAAAGTGGTGAAAAGGAGTAGAGTAGTTGCGTTGCTGTTGTGGGCCGAAGGCTGACGCTTTTCGTTTCATTTCGGAGGGATGCCTCGTTAAAAACCTCATTAGAAAAAACCTTGTGGGAAAAAATCCTAATGAGGGAAAAAGAGTGCACCGAATTCCCCCAACGATGAATCGAAAATGTGAAACCTTGGTCAAAAATGGAGAATAACGGTAATGCCGAAGGCTCTTCTTCTTCTGAGGGCTCATGCGTTGATTGGCCGAAGGCTTGCTGTTGATGTCCTGGGGGTGCCGAAGGGGAGCCCCTCAATCTGGGGATCGAGGGCCTGATGGATGAGGGCAACAGTGGAGTCGTTATCGGGGGGTCCACTGTTTGTTGATTAGTTGGTGATGAAGATACCCGGGGGCTCCCATTACCTGTGTGCCGTAGGCTATCCGTCAATGAGGCAACTCCCCGGGGGCTACCCGTTTTGACAGTGGTGAGGGGGAATCCCCGAGGGGTACCCTGATATGAAGCTTTGGGTTTCTGAAGGAGTGATCCCGAAGGCGTCTGTTATGTGCTGTGTGGGGCACAACCCGGGAGCGTCTCTGGGTAAGTGTACCCGGAGGCTCTCCTTGATTAGGTGGAGTGAAGTAGAAAACTCCGGGGCCTCCAGAATATAGCCGTTGGAAATATAGCCGTTGGAATATGTAACGTCAGGTTTATAGCCGTTGGGGGGGGGGGGGTACACGTGGAGTGTAGCCGTTGGCTGCTCGTGGGCGGGCGTCACCGGTTGGGTGAGACGACGGTGTGTAATGATGATGTTTGGCCGGAGGCCCAGTTTTTGGGCCCAAGCCCGGATCCTGGAGTCTATAAATACCCCAAGCCAATGCCATTCCTTCCTTACGCATCCAAAATCCTTAGCGAAGCTCTGCCAAAAATTCTAGAGAGAGAAACTCAAGCCTTCGGTCATAGCAACTTTCAGAGGTCAGTTCTCCCTTCGTTCCTCACCGTTTTTCGTTAGCTTTTGCTCCCTGGCCTTAGGTTAGGTGTTATAGCCTTGTAGAGAACCCTCGATTTAGGAATCTTAGCCTAAGTACACCAAGGATGTCGTCCCAAAGCGACTCGCAGAATATCTCGAGGGAGCCCTCGGTTGAGGACGAGGTTGCTTCCGATGTTGAGTCAAGTAGCAGTGCGCCCTCGGTTGCTGATGACGAAGCCGTAGCCTTGGAGTTGCAGAAGGCCCTTGCTGCTGAAGTGGAAGCCGAGGGCTTCGAACAGGAGTGCGAAGATGAAGAATTAGCCTTCGCGTATCAGGTGGTGGAGGACGAAGCCCAAAAGGAGGCGATGACGGTTACTGTTGCTGTGCCACCCCCTCGAACTGACTGTGGTGAGCCTAGTACCTCCAGGCCGTTGGACCCGACGCCTCTGAGGATAACCCTCGGTAATAAAAAGAAGATGAAGTCGAAGAGGGTTGCCCCCAAGAAGAAGGGTGTTGACGCTGGTGCTGGGGGGCCTGTTGAAATGCCAGAGGGGTATACCTGGCTGAATACCGAGGCCCTCGATATCAAGTCGAAGGCGGACAGGGCTGATTTGTACGTCACGCAGCTGCACGTTGGGCCCTCGGCCGTAGTGGTGGAGCCAGGCGTCGATGATTTGCTGTCCCGGCCACCCGAGGGATGTATTGCCGTCCACATCCTGTCGGTGTCAATGGGCCTCCGGTTCCCCCTGCACCCATTTCTCCGGGAGTACCTCAGGTTCGTTGGACTCATCCCTTGCCAACTTACCCCCAACAGCCATTCATATGTTGCTGGCTTTCTGCACCTGTGCCGGACGAGGGATGTTACCCCAAGCTTGGACCTCTTCTTCCAAAGCTTCAACTTGTGCCGAGGGGGGCACGCGAATGCCGAGGGCTTCGCCAATTTGCAGCAGGTAGCGAAGTTCAAGTCGTTCACCGAGGCGCCCTCGTCCAACAAGGGCTGGAAGGACAGATGGTGCTATGTCCGGTTGGCCGAGAACCCCTTCCCGAGGGAGCTACGGGACCGCTTTCGGCGCCACGAGAAGGTGGGGAGTATCGTCCTAGAGAAGGATGGCCTGAAACTCGCCAAGATCCCGGAGGGCAAGAAGAAGGTCGTGACGATCAAAGAATGCACTTTTGAGGATGACTTGCATGCCCTCGGGTTCCAACGGTACCGGTTCATCGGGGAAACAGACGAGAAGTATCCCGTCTTCGCTGAGGCCTTCGGGGGAGCAGGAGGTAGTCTACGAGGGCCCTTAGTCTTGTACTTAGGCATTCTCATTTTGCATCCCGATAGTTGTTTGTGGTATGAATCCTTCGGGTTAATATTCTCTTTGCATTGTTTTGCAGGTATGGAGGCTCTCTTCGCAATGAAAAAGAAGAAGGAGAGGGCGCAGGCCCAGAAGAAGGAGAAGAAGGAGCCCTCGGGTCAGAAGCCCATTGATGAGGTTTTCCCGAAGGAGGCTGCGGAGCCTTCAGTTGCTGCTGCTCCTGCTACTGTGGCCGGGGGGGCCGAGGGCCAAGGTGGCCGCCAAGAAGAAAAAGGGAGGCAAGGGGGTGGAGCCCCCAATCAAGAAACAGAAGGTTGCCGGGGGCGCCGTTGAAAAGGCGGCCCCCCTCATAATAATTGATGATCAGCCCTCCGCTGACCCCCCGGCCATTGACACTCCGATGGCTCAAACAGACCTTCCCCCGGGGAACCTGCCTCGGGAGATTATTCAGCTCTCCCTCGCTCCGGGGGCATCTGTGTTGCACGGTTCAGCTGAACCGATGTCTTTCCTGAGGGGGATTACCTCGATGATGGATAAGGAAGCCCTCTCCACCTATGACGATGACGCCCTCGAAGGCAAGGCCCTTCGATCAGTTCTGGCTGTAAGTGTCTTTTTTTTTCTTTGACTTTATCTTAACACTTAGTATAATCCCAATGCCCGTCTGAACCCTTTGTCCGTTATTCAACAGGCGTGTATAACCTTCGGTGAGCAGGCCCGAAGGCGCGAGGAGTGGTGCCGTCATAAGGCCGAGCTAGAGAAGTCCGTGAAGGAGCTGATCCACGACAAGGACGCTGCCCTCCGGGAGGTGTGCAAGCTGGAGGACGCCCTTCGGCAAGCGGAGCTGAGGCTGAGGGAGGCCAGAGATGACGGGAAGGCCGAGGGCAAGGCAGAGGCCGAGAGGGTTGCGGCCGAGGAGAGAAAGCAAGCGGCCGAGGACGCCGAAAAGGCCAAGGCCGAGGCTGTTGTCAAAGCCCGAGAAGAGGCCATCGCTGGGTTCATCTCCGAGGGCTGGAAGGCCGAGGGCCAGAGTGAGTGGGTGGCCTCTGTGGTGAAGGCCTCGATCGAGGAGTGGGTGAGGGGCCCCGGGCTCGACTGGATGAACGAGAGGGGTGATACCTACTATCAAGCCGGCGAGTTCTTCACCCAGCACCTGGTTTACCGGAGGCTCGCCCGGCATTTTGGCACCTCCCTGGATGAGTTTAACCCCTCAGTGTATGGCCTCCCCCCTTTGCAGCCAGATGTGAGGGTCCCCCTCCCCGAGGGAGAAGAGCGCCCGGTGATTCATGATTCTATGATGATGGGCGTTGATGATGATGCCGAGGACGCCACCGGGGAGGAGGTTACCTCGAAGCCGTCGGAGGAGGCGGCCCCCGGGAATGATGTTGTTGATTTGTAATATGTACTTAGCAAACATTTGGGCTTACTTGTAATGGTGACACTATTGATCCTTCGGCTTCGGCCTGTTTGTAATAATTACATTTACTCCTTTTGGTGATGATTGACGGATAAGTGTTAGCCTTCGGGCCTTGTATATATACATGATTTGTTTGCTTTAATTCATTCCTCCTTGAA